GCTAGCCCTTTTAACTCCCAATAAATCCTTTTGAAGTTTTGGAAGTTTGGCTCGAGATTCATGATTTAAATGGGGTTAAGTGCCAGAATCCTGACAAATATTTCTGGTTTTAAATCAATATGCTGCATTGTCATCTTTTCCAACCAACATTTGTATTTTTGTCCACCGTGAACTCATCTATTCTCTTTGGAGAGCCAGAGGTTATTTCGCCACCTGTTCTGCTCACCTTCCTTCCTGTTATCCCGGATTTGCTCTTCCAACGTTCTCCGCAAATTCCAGGTCTCCAAGATGCCTTCTTCAAGTTGCTTCCTCAGGGACAAGATGGTGTTTAGCTCCTCCTGCAGATTATTTATGCTAATTTAGAAAAAAGAAAAAAGAAAAAGAAGAGAGAAGAATTTTTAACCGAAGACCAAGGACACCAAACTCATGAAACATTTGGGGGAAATTGGAAATTGTGCTCTGGACCTCTGGCATCTTTTGTTCAGATATAAAAAGATCTCCTTCTGAATGAAGTCGCTTTTAAAGGATGGAGGGAGGGGGGGGGGGAGGGGAGAAAAAAGGGGGGGAGGGAGGGAGGGAGGAAGGAAAAATGGCAGATCCCAGAATTAAGCATTGCTTGGAAAACAAATCAATACATAAATGCCAAAAGGCTGCATGTTCATTTCCTTAATGAAGGGCATTACTTGATTAAAGGTGACACGACTGGGATTCAATTCTTGGCAGGATGGATGTGGGGTGGGGGGAAGGGAGAAAGACTGGATCCAAAATTTACTCCATCACCTTGAGGCACAGGTGGGAGGAGAGATATTCCTCCACAAAGGAACAAGAACAGATCTATGAACTGCTGCCCATTAATCTGAGGACTACATTGGGGACCACTTTAGAATCTTCATTCAGTGTCCTCAACAACTTACTTCTGTCCTCCTCCACTTCCCCTCCTCCTCCTCTTCCTCCGCCTCCCCTTCTTTCTCATCCCAATCTCTCCTTCCTGCTCTCCTTCTCCTCCTTCTCTTCCCCCCTTCCCCTTCTCCTCCTTCTCCTCTTCCCTTTCCCCTTTTCCTCCTCCTCTTCTTCCTCTCCTCCTCTCCCCTTTGTCCTTCTCCTCCTCTCCATCTCCTCTTCCTTCTCCTCTTCCCCTTTTCCTCCTCTTCCTCTTCCTTCTCTCCTCCTCCTCCTCACCCCTTTCTCCTCCTCCTCCTTTTCCTCCTCCACCTCCTCTTACCCTTCTCCTCCTCCCCTTCTCCTTTTCCTCCTCCTCTTCCTCCTCCTCTCTTCGTCCTCCTAGTTCTCCTTCATAATTTTAATTTATGTTATTTGTACATTCATGGATTCATTTCTTGTAACAAGGGTTGTTTCTGAACAGAGAAATAAACAGGAAAGTCCTCCCAGGAGAACCAGACCCTTAAGAACCCCCCCAAAAAAAATCTTTATGGGCCTGGCCCATCTAGTCCACCCCTTCTCACCCACATAAAGGCCAAATGGAGATATTTGGTCATCGCAATCCTTCCATTAAGGAATGTTAAGCAGACCTTTGGCACCAGAATCACCACGTAAGTTTGGGGAGGACGTCGTGCAAATGAAGTTAGCCAAGGGATTCCATCTCTTCTTCTAGCCGTTGTTTCCGCGGCTGGGCTTTGTGTAGGAGTTTGTGGGTTGAGAAACCCTGGGAAACGTTGCCGAGATGCCGCACACGTACACCCCAAAATGCTCCAAGACCATTTATCCACTCTGAGGCAAAGTAAGACGCTGCTCACCCATCGGAATCTTTCAGGGACTTGATCAAAGTCGAAAAAATGGTGTGCTCTTTTCGGAGAGTTTCGAGCATTTCCGCGTATTCGGACTCTTTGGCTCTCTGAAAAGAAAAAGTCGCTTGTTTATCTGAAGCAAAACGAGCGGTGCGGTGGGCTAGAAGTGGAGTTCTCGCCTCACAATCGGGAGGCTGTGAGTTCGATCCTGGCTAGAGGCAGATATTTCTCTCTCTGGGCACACACTGAGAATATAGCTGCTGAACAAAACTCCGCATTGGCAACAGGAAAGGCGTCCGGCCAGTAAACACTCAGCTCCATTCCAGTTGCCCAGACTCCACCTCACAAGGGATGACGGGGTCATTCAAAGGTGATGATGATCTTTAGTTCTTGTTTTGTGACAAGGAGGGAGGTTCTAACCTAGAGATGGGCCAACTGGACCGCTCTGGAGAATACTGATCAATTCCACAGTATGTTTTTTTTTTCTTCCTTCAAAGCACTAACTCAACAAATTGTGTTTCTGCAACAACCTTGACTGAAATAACCACCGTAAGGAGACACCGCTAGCAGATGGGTCAACCCATCCACCTTGCAAGGTGAATGGAGAAAGTTTAAGAAGATCAGAATTCTAGTCTAAAGAGAGATGTGCTATCATCCATTACGGTTTCTCAATAACAGAGTTGGGAGGGACCTTGGAGGTCTTCTAGTCCAACCCCCTGCTTAGGCAGGAAACCCTACACCACTCCAGACAAATATTTATCCAATCTCTTCTTAAAAACTTCCAGTGTTGGAGCATTCACAACCTCTGGAAGCAGATTGTTCCAGTGATTAATTGTTCTAACTGTCAGGAAATTCCTCCTTAGTTCTAGATTGCTTCTCTCCTTAGTTAGTTTCCACCCATGGCTTCTTGTCCTGCTCTCAGATGCTTTGGAGAAAAAGTTGACCCCCTCTCTTCTTTGTAGCAGCCCCTTAGATATTACCACACTGCTATCATGTCACCCCTAGTCCTTTTTTTTCATGCAACGTACAAAAAACATTGAAGCAATCCTCGAATGTCAGCCTCTTGGCTTCTAGGGGCTCACTAAGAAAGGATTTTTTGAAATGACCATCAAGAGCATTAGTATTTCCTATATTATCATTATTATTAACACGCCCTGATGCTAAGAATTCTACTCCCCCTCCCCACCTGAAAAGAAATCTCTTCCAAATGCAAAACACAAGCAGAGGAGTTTCAGTTTCACAGCCACAAGCAGCTTTAGTACAGAACAGTTGAGCTAAGCCACGCCCATGCTCCTTGCTCTCTCCTTGCTCACACAGCAAATACTGCTTCCGTTTCCAAATAGCCCTCTACTCTTTCACATACTGACAGGACAGTAGCCAGATGAATACCGATGGATGCTGGTAGACAGAGGCAGATTTCCGCCCCCCCCTTATTTTCCTCCCCAAAAATTAAGCCTGACCACATAGTTTCATAGTGAAGCACGGGTATCGAGCTACTTGATTATATTCTATTTGCGACTAACTCTGAAATAGCCTCTAAATACAATGTGAGGCACATATTTCCCAGGAATGTTTGTTTATTTATATAGATATAGATATAGATAAAATAATTGGGAGAAAATACAGTCAAACAGGGAAGGTCTACCTCTAATTCATGCATCATTTTGGTCACCAGCTGCTCGGATTGGGCTGCGCATTTTTCTTCCATCAAGGCTTCGTTCTGTCTCTCAAGACTCTCTTTATTTTTCTCCAGATTTTGAAACTTAGTGGACCATTCCTGCAGCCTCAAATCTTTTTCTCTAATGACCCCATCAAGAGTCTGTGTGGGAGGAAAAAGAAACCGAAACAAACAATGTGTTGTTTGTCGTGAGCAGGCAAGTTGCTAAAAAGAAAAACATTCACTTTGTCCCTCTGTTTTGAAAAAACCAAAATAATTGATGTCCAATCTTGGCCCATCTTCACAGTTCCAGCAAAGGAATCTTGTGAAATGCACCAGGGCTCGACCATTTCTTTAAAGGCCATGGGTCGTTCAAGAAAATCAGGAAGTCTGAGTTAACGAGAAAGGAAAATCAAAATGACAGAGTTGGGAGGGACCTTAGAGGTCTTCTAGTCCAACCCCCTGCTCAATCTGGAGACTCTATGCCATTCCAGACAAACGGCTGTCCAGTCTCTTCCTAAAAACCTCCAGTCATAACTTCTGTTCTACAAAGATGACACCCAGCTGGCAGGAATAACCAACAGCCCAGAAGACAAACTCAGGATCCAAAAATCTTGAGAGACTTGAACAATGGGCCCGATTCAACAACATGAAATTGAATGTGGAGAAAAAACAAACAAACCGAGGTTTTTACACCTACACAGGAAAAACCAAAGGTACAAGGACAGAGAAGGTGAAACCTGGCTCGAAAACGATAACTGTGAGATCACTTAAACATGAGCCAGCAGCCAAAAAAAGCCAACAGAATCCTTGGTTGTATAAACAGAGGCATAGAATCAAAATCTCATGAATAGAAAAGAATTAGAATAGAATTCTTTATGGGCCAAGTGGTGATCGGACACACAAGGAATTTGTTTTGGTGCAAATGAAGTATTAATGCCACTTTAAAAAAAAACCTTAGTAAGGCCACACCTGGAATACTGCGTCCAGTTTTGGTCACAAAACATTACCAAAAAAAAAAGAGGTGGAGGCTTTGGAAAAAGTTCAGAGAAGAGCAAGTAAGATGATTACTTGATGGAGACAAAAACATATGAAGAACAGCTGCAGGTTTTGGGTTTGACTAGTCTAAAGAAAAGAAGAATTAGGGGCAACAGGATAGCAGCATTCTAGTATTCGAGGGGCTGCCCCAAAGAAAAAGGGTTCCACTTATTTTCCAAAGCACCAAAAGGCAAGGACAAAAAAAACGATGGATGGAAACTAATCAAAGAGAGAAACAATTTGGAATTAAGGAGAAACTTCCTAACAGTGAGGACAATCAACCAGTGGAACAGCTGGCCTCCAGGTGGTGTGAATGCTTCGTCACTGGAGGTCTTTAAGAGAGTAGACAATCACCTGTCTGAAATGGTATAGGATTTCCTGCTTAAGCAGGGGACTGGACTAGAAGACCTCCAAGGTCCCTTTCCTGCTCTATTCTGATTGAAGTTGATGCCTGATTAATTGTTCTCCTTAGGTTGCTTCTCTCCTTGATTAGTTTCCGTCCATTGCTTCTTGTCTTGCCTTCTGGTGCTTTGGAAAATAAGTTGTCCCCCCTTCTTTCTTTGGGGCAGCCCCATAACTATTGGAAGATAGCTATGTTCTATCAGCCCTGGTCCTTCTTTTCATTGAATTAGACCCATCCCATTCCTGGTGCGGTTCTTCACAAGCCATCAAACGATGACACTGCCCTCTTTAACAACGCCAGAACTTTCCCTTCAGCAGATGTTCTCCTCACCTGGAGCAGTTCATCCTTCTGAGCCACGCCGTCCGTCAGGCGTGCGATGACCGACTTCTGGTCCTGCAACCTTTGATCCCCGTCACTCAAGAGGACCTCGTAATGCAGCTCGATCGCCTTTTCCTTCTCAGCCAACTCGTTTTGAGTTTTTTCCAACTGGTTCCGAAGGTCCTGGATGGGGAAGAGAAGACAAGAAAGCACAAGGGTGGCGGGATTAATTGGGAAGAGATCTGGAGACCGTTCTGACCGAGGCTTCCCAAAAGCTTGAAGCTGACTCCTCGTCCCGATAAAAACCCCTTTTATTTAGGTTCAAGGGAATTCCTCTCCAGCAAAGTCCCGGCCAACAGTCTTTCAAGAGAGCTCACAACTACAGACTTTTATCAGGCTGGGAGAGTTGCCAGGTAAGGTATGAAGCCAATTCTGAGACACGTAATTGACTGTCACTGGTTTTCCCGCACCCCTCTGGGTGTATCATAATTCATATTCTCCAACGAAACACATTCATAGCCAAGAGTCATCAATCACATTCTCCAATTAGAGATTTGTGCAGCAGAAACTCTGGTAGCTTAGTTATAATCTTTGCAAGATAAGAATGGAATGCACTTCCGGTTACAAACTGCTGCGCTGCTCTTTCAAATTTTTCTCCCCCCGCCCCTTCTATTCATGTCAACTCTAAAACAGGCATAGAAATGTTTTTTTGAGTTGACACTACCTGTATTTAAAACGTAACGCTCCCTTTTTAAATTTGAGAATGGGACAAATTGGCTCCAACGATTTCCCAGCGTAGGCAATTAAAAGATCTTCAGGTTAAGACGAAACAAGTCACAAAAGAAATTACTATTGTTTGGGTAGGCTGGGGAAGTCTTGAATTCAGGAACTGGGCGGCAGCTAACACTGTTTTTTAATATACATTCTGCATGTTCAAACCTTCATTTCCCTGTTTGGTTTGTAAATATTCTGTTTTGAAGCCGCCTGATCTCATTTGGAAATCTGTATTAGCTTTTGGCTGTCTGGGGATTTCATAATAGGTGTGAAATCTGGTAAAGAGCCCTGAAATGTAACAAGCGCAGTAGGAAAAAATAAAATTTAAAAAAATCATATTCCACGTGTCGCTGAGATGTTGCCCTAGAGAATTGCAGTTCTGGGTCAAATCGCAGAATTTCTCCCCGGACTGAATATATTTCTGCACATTAAGACAGGCCAACAACAGGGGAGGTGTTTTTTTTTAGATAAACACCCAGCCAGATGCTCAGAAGTTATTCCAGCTTTAAAAAAAAAACAGATAAGATTTTAACACCACCCTGAAAAAGAGATGGAAAAAGAACTCAGCAGAGAAACAGAATTTATAAAGTTATCCTGTAGCAACCGAATGCATCTGTAATAAAACCCATTCATTAAAAAAACTGACTCAACACTGTTCTTTTAAGCAAGTATTGAAGGTGGGGACCGCGCTGTGCAGGCAATACTTGACGGTTGGGACACGGCAGCCGTCATAAATATGAAGCATCTGCATTTTGATCACATGACCATGGGGTATTCTGACCTGGGCTTCCCAAGATCACGAAGCCGACTCCTCGTCCCAATAAAAGCCCTTTTATTTAGGCTAAAGGGAATTCCTCTCCAGCAAAGTCCCGGCAAACGGTCTTTCAAGAGATTTCACAGCTACAGACTTGGAGAACTGCCAGGCCGATATCTTCCAAATGCCACTCTGTAGCAGACAATAGTTGGCAAGGAGTCAGGAACAGATCTTCACCCTCATGAATTGAACTAATGGTCTCCTGCAAACCCCACTCCCCTTTCGCTCCTCTTTATTCCCTATGGGAGGGGCCATTCACCGTCCACCTGTGGCTTTACTCCTGAGTCAATCCTTGTTCCTTAGCTGTTCCCTTCTCCTGGCAGCTCTGTGCATGCGCACACTGATAACAGGCTCCAGCTGTTCATCTGCCCCACTAATCTCCAACTCCTTCCCCAGGACTGGAGATCAACCTTCCCCAACCTCCTCACTGTTCGAGTCTGCCACCACTAGCGGGCCACAACATGGGGATGCTGTAAAGGTCATAACTGAGAAAAACGGCCACAAATCACTTTGTTCAGTGCTGTTGTAACTTCAGCCACTAAGCAGAAAAAGTTGAATGTCGAAGACTTCCTGTATATATATCTGTTGAATCAAGTCTACTCTCAACTAAGGAAGCTTATAAATTAGTTTGGGCCAGTCCCAATTCTTAGCCTTAGCTTGCCCCTTTAAAGTTTCAACGGAGGGGAAAAATAATGAGGTTATATATTCTGCCTGTAACTCCTGGAGTAAATAAAGGTTTTGATAGAAACTGTAAATAAATCAAGCCGAACAAAACCTCTCATCAGCCTGCTCAGGTGGCCAAAGATATTGAACACAAAAAAAACATCCCATATTACTCCGAGAAGGGAATTTGTGTTGCTGCTACCCACAATTAAACCGCAGGTGGCATTAATATCCCAAGAGCGCCTTGCTCACAGAAGCCGCCTCGCTGCACCTAACCAAGGATGGAGCCCGCCATCCTTTAGCGTTATTCTATTTTAGAGATCATTTAATTTCCCAGCCTGTAACTTTTAGCTTCTTCATTCCTTCCCTCTTCCGAATTAGATGTAAAGAAGCCCCCTCAAAAATAAAATAAAATAAAATGGGGAACGGTTCACTGTGTGAGTTTTATGGACTGATAACCCAATGGAGCAGCTGCCTCTCGCCTGCCGTTAAGTAAGATGGGAAGGCGGCGCAGCTCACTCACAAAAAGCTTTGCACGGTAGCCTTCAAAAGAGACCGCCGTTAAGAAAACACTGGGGCATGCTTTCGCTCCCGCTTGCCTGCCGGATGAGCAAAGATTGCACACACCCAAGGCCCTGGTGCAATGTATTTAATAACATCAGGAACCGTGTGTGTGTGTGTGTGTGTGTGTGTGTGTGTGTGTGTCTTTGTGTGTTTTGCATTAGAAAACAACCCGATTGAGGCTGTAAGCCGTAAAACTCAAGTGGTAATGGATCCCACTTGATGTTATGGAAGGCTTTTAATTATGTAGGATCCAAAAACATATTGACAGATTTGAACAATGGGCCCTATCCAACAAAATGAATTTCAATGTGGAGAAAAGCAAAGTTTTTTAGGCAGGAAAAATCAAAGATATAAGTACAATTAGGTGAGACCTGGCTGAAAAACAGTAATTGTGAGTCCTAGTGGACGATCCCTTGAACATGATCCAGCCGTGTGCGGCTGCAGCCAAAAAAAGCTAACACAATCCTAGGTTGTGTAAACAGAGGCATAGAATCAAAATCAGGTGAAGTATTAGTACCGCTTTATAAATCTTTAGTAAGGCCACACCTAGAATACTGCAACCAATTTTGGTCACCGTACTGCAAAAAAGATGTTGAGGCTTTGGAAAAAAGTTCAGAGAAGAGCAACTAAGAGGATAAAAAGCCTGGAGACTAAAACATATGACGAACAATTGCAGGATTTGGGTTTGGCTAGTCTAAAGAAAAGAATTGTGGGCGGGGGGAGAGCATGATAGGAGTCTTCCAGTATTTGAGGGGCTGCCACAAAGAAGAGGAGGTCAAATTATTCTCCAATGTACCAGAGGGTAGGACAAGAAACAATGGTTGGAAACTCATCAAAGAGAGAAGCAACCTGGAATTTAGGAGAAACTTCCAAACTAACTCACTAACTCACTAACACTCACTCTCTCTCTCTCTCTCTCTCTCTCTCACACACACACACACACACACACACACATCTCTCTCTCTCTCTCTCTCATCTCTCGCTCACTCATCTCTCTTTCATCTCTCCCTCTCTCTTTCTCAACTCTCTCTTCTCTCTCTTATCTATCTATCTATCTATCTATCTATCTATCTATCTATCTATCTATCTATCTATCTATCTATCTATCTATCTATCCATCCATCCATCCATCCATCTGTTTACCTATCTATCTGTCTGTCTGTCTGTCTATCATCTACCTACCTAACATCTATCTACCTATCATCTATCTATCTATCGATCGATCTCTATCTGTCTGTCTGTCTGTCTGTCTGTCTGTCTGTCTACCTATCTGTCTGTCTGTCTGTCTGTCTATCATCTACCTACCTACCTATCTATCTATCTATCTATCTGTCTATCTGTCTACCTGTCTGTCTGTCTACCTGTCTGTCTGTCTGTCTATCATCTACCTACCTATCATCTACCTATCATCTATCTATCTATCTATCTATCTATCTATCTATCTATCTATCTATCTATCTATCTATCTATCTATCTATCATCTATCTATCTATCTCTATCTGTCTGTCTATCTATCTATCTATCTATCTGTCTGTCTATCATCTACCTATCTATCTATCCATCCATCCATCCATCCATCCATCCATCCATCCATCCATCCATCCATCCATCCATCTCTAGCTATCCTCTATCTATTTACATTGGAACCAAATCGGGAGGAAGAAAATGCATTGGGTGTCAGGTTTCCAAGTGCCGGGATCAAGTTCCAGCTGAAACAAGAGAAGCTTTGAGCTCATGAGAATAGAGCTGGAAGGGACTTTGGAGGTCTTGTAGTCCAACCCCCCCGCCCCCCACCCAAGCAGGAGACCCTATACCATTTCAGATAGGTGGCTTGATAGATGGAAACTCATCAAGGAGAGAAGCAACCTGGAATTAAGGAGAAACTCCCTGACAGTGGGAACAATTAACCGGTGGAACAGCTTGCCACCAGAAGTCGTGGGCGCTTCATCCCTGGAGGTTTTTAAGAAGAGACTGGACAATCACTTGTCTGAAACGATATAGGTTCTGCTGCCTGAGCTCATTCTATTCTACTTTAAACCAGCAAGCTTGGAGCACTTCTGAACCGTGATCGACAATGGGAAATTTATCACTTACATCAGTAATAATCAGGACTTCATTTCTATTTCATTCTAGAAAGCAAAGTTGGTCCACTTCCAGTTAAGTCAGGGAGATAAATAACGCAGCAAAGAGAGTGGTAGAATAGGATCAGAATCTGGAATCTGGACCCAGGATTTTGGAGAAGATCGGGGTTCGAGCCCACGAAGGACTTAAGCCAGGATATATAATTCTTGGTCAAACCAGCCTGTCCCCCATTCAGACCTAAATGGACAGAGCAGCGAAGACTGTATTCAGAAAACAGAAGTATTTTTGCATCGACGGGCAATCGGCAGGCTTCCATCCTTATTCATATATCCTGGATATAATTAAATTTCTGTACACAGACAAACACAGATGTGCACCCGGCTATAAATCCATGGAGCTCATCTGCCACTGGTACCTTTTCATCCCTAGTGGGTGAATTACACAGCTGTCCTATCCAGCTCAAAATATCCAAAATATCAATATTAGAGAATTTACGTCGCTCAGGGTCGAGCGGTGGAGTCCTCGGTGCTCTCTCTGAGCTGGGTTGTTTGCCCAAGCGAAATCCGAAAACGCTGGGGAATTCTTGGGAGCTCGGCACACAGGCACCATCAGCCATCAATGGGCACACAGAGATCAACCACGTTTACAAAGCATTACAAAGAGACAATAAAGAGGCTAAGAAGGAAACAAACAGAACGTATCCTCTTCGGCAAGCGACACCCGGATAAGAAAGGATTAACATCAGACAAACAATCAAGCAGAAAATGATACCTTAGTAAAGGAATTACCAAGGACCCATGCACCCATACTGACAGGGCAAGCTACTGTACATGGAGGGAGGAAATCCCACACTCACTAGCACTGATGACGTTACCTAACCAGATAATGAAATGTCTGCAAGCAAACAACCCCACAGTTCTCCTTCTACCACCCATGATGTTTTCTAGTTTGGTAATGAAATTTCTGCAAGAAAATAACAAAGATCAGAGAGCAGCAATAACCCCATGCTATTCCTCCTCCTTTACTCCTCTTCCTCCTCCCTCTTCCTCTTTCCCTCCTTCCCCTCCAATTCCTTTTTCTTCTTTTCTGTCCTCCTCCTCCTTCCTCTTAATCTGCTTCCTCTCCTCCTCCTTCTCTTCCTCCTCCTCCCTCTTCCTCTCCTTCCCCTCTTCCTCCTTTTTCTTCTTTGTCCTTCTCCTCCTCCTCGTCTTCCTCCTCCCAAGCCCCACTCTCTTCTACCACCAATAATGTTGCCTAATTAGGTAATGAAATTTCTGCAAGAAAATAACAAAGCTCAGAGAACACCAAGAACCCCACACTCCTCCTCCTTTCCTCCTCCTCCCTCTTTCTCTCCTTCCCCTCCTCTTCCTCTTTTGTCTTCTTTTCTGTCCTCCTCCTACTCCTTCCTCTTAGTCTCCTTCCTCTCCTCTTCCTCCTTTTTCTAT